ATGCTCATGTTCTTCCTGTGGTTTTGCCGTTTGGATTTTAATGAAGCAGCAATTGAACTTGAGATGCGCTATGCAAAGACCATAAGGTTACGACAATTAGAGCGACCTAATCACGTATTCTTCTTTCTTTCATTGCAGCCGGGAATGCTATGAAGAATTCGAACTTGGGTGAGTTGATAGCTGACTCGAAGTGTTGCGTGCGCCTGCAGGGTTTGCAACAAAAAATTAGGGTTTTGAGCCTCAGATAGCATATCTCAGTTAGATATACTGGCACTGGCACTGCATTGCGAGGTATTTTGCGGCTTCCAGCCTAGCAAGGACACCCATTTTGTTTGCGTGGGACCAAAGCGTGCGGTTCTTATGAGCTCGCATGCAAGTAAGTCACAGTGAACTTGTTAAACCAACAGCGCAATGATGGGTGAAGTTTATTTTGAGAGATGTAGGTCTCATAAGGTCTGTGCACTTGACGATTTTGGACAACAAAACATCGGCATGGCGATACCTATGAAATGACCCATTCAATTCAATTCAAGGTCAGTTGGGTGTCGCAGTCGCAAACAATGAAAGCGTTCTCCTCGCTTGCTGTAGCCGTGCCGCCATGCTGTAACCTGCCTTCCCACAACCCCAGTAGAGCCAAGACACTCAGTGTCATTGCACCACCAGCTCGCTGCGTGCGCTCGAACGCCTAACCTGTGGATCGACACTCCACGATGCCCATGGTTTTTTTCCCGCAGCCCGAACGGAGAGCGCATTCCGGTGCGCCATGACAAGCCGAAGGTGCGGAAAATCGACCAGTTCGTCGAGCCCAACTGCCCGTGCCGTCCCAGCATGTCTAAGCGATACACATTGGCCTGGCTGGCCTCCATCGGTGAGTTGGCGGCACCTGGCGTCCGGTCGATCGTCGGTGCGTGGCTGTGCCGAGCGCTTTCGCGGTCATCGGTGTTTGTAGCCATGAAACGCGGTTGTGGTTCGATGTGACATGCTGGTCATGATGCACCAGATTGCCTTACGCTTTGGCTCGTGCTCTCTCTCGAGTTCCCCGTTCCCTGGGATTCGATGCTCTGATCTGAAGGTCAGAATGTTTCCGACCTCTCGGCCACCAGTTTTTTTGGTTCAACTGCTGTGATGGGTAATCATCAGACAAACGTGCAATTGACGTTTTTCACGCAACGTTGCAATTTCACGCTCCTGAAGAGCAAAGACAGATCAGTAATAGACTTGAGCTTGGCTCCGATTTTCGCATTAGCTGAATCTGTTCCAACTTCAAATTCAAACTCATATCGATGTTTTGGCTTCGTGCAATTCAACTTAAGTTTGAGTCGATTTATATTTCGCTTAAAAGGGTAGGTTAAGAAATTTTGTAATTGGCTTCATTAGAACAAATAAAGCCAAGAGTCAAATGTAAATCAAACAAATGTGGATGAGGCAGTATAAACAGCCTCATTCATTGAAGAATAAACAGAAGAATCACTGAAATAGATGTAAGATTTCGGTTACATGCCCTTATCGAAACGGCTATCAGTAGAATATCCAGCACTACTTGATCAGAAGAATACCAGTACTACTGATATCCCTTCCGATAAACGCATGCAACCGAAATATCACAATCTTTCCATTATTCTGTTGGTTCTACGGGGAACGAGGCTATTAATACTGCCTCATCTATACATAAAGTTCCTCGCAAATGCACTCTACAACTTAAGTAGATAAAGCAAATGTGTATAGGTCCACATGGATAATGTATACTGCTTATAGAGTAAATATTCGCCCGGCGTCTAAATCATTGTGTATGTAAATTACCAGAACAAAAATAGGCGCCTCTGGCTATTTTTAATATAATTATTTCACCGATAGCTTCAGGCTATATGCTTTGATCAAATCCAACTTCAACTCACTTAAATTTTGAAAGGAACTGACGCCACCTCGACTACCCTGACTTGACGCAGTGACAGCCTGCCTTGACTCTGTGTGCCTCCGGGAGAGTACGACTACGGCCGAAACAAACCTTTAGTCTGGCGGCCAGCCATCTAACAACTACGTCCTTCTGACATCGGCGGTAGCTCTGAACTGAACGCAAGGCAGCGACCTCACTAATGTGTCATGCAGATGCGCTTGGCCCATTTCTTCGCGCTTTCAAGAGCATCTATACTTTTATGTGTGCATTTTGCACCCGACTGCTTATGCCGTTCGCCTAGTTTGGAAGCTAGCCGCGCGTGATGTTGCCGTCCCACGACCCATACGTACGCGCCGCGCTAGTCATCTGCGCAGCAGGGGAATCGCGCTGTGTGAGTGACAGTATGGAGACGGAACCTGCCACAACATCCGCGGGGATATCACAATCACCCTGCAGGTAAATTCAGCGTAAGAAGCAATCTCCCTAATACCCTGAGTTATCTAAAACGGGGTCTTTATCGAGATGATTCGCCGTTTTACGGACTCAATAAGTGTGTTGTATTTCTGATTGGAGGCCTGTGCCGGCCGTAACTGAAGACTTTGATTGCGGTAAGCTGGGAGTAATTGCTGGAATTGATGGTGATTTCCGGGAACCACCAACTTCCGAGGGGTGCTGTACTCACGGTGTAATGTTTCCAGGTTTTCTGATATCTTTCGGAATTCGATGCAACTTGGGTGTTGCTATGATAAAGATGACCGAGCCCGACGCAATAACAGGGGTAAGTTCACCGAACGTCATTGTCCGAAACAGCTCATTTTTGACACTTCTAAAAATATCGCGCCATCGCGAGGTCGTGCCGCTTCTGAGTTATGTTGTTATTCAAACAAAACTGCGCTGCCGGACGACAGTAGGCATGTCTATGAGCTGCAATATGTTTGTTTGACAGCTGTCGTAACGCCTACAAATGTCACAGCCTGTCGAGGCTGGTCCGGCCTATCGACTGTCCGCCCAAAACCCGTCCTCACATGCGGAGTGCCGCAGTCTTTCTTTGGACTCCCGTCGGATTTATTTTGGGCCTAGATGTAATGGCTTTACCGCAGGAAAATTGCGTTTCTGGATCAAAGTGAGAACTTCATTACCAGACGATTAAAGAAGTTCGTTGCGGCTTGACAAACAGAAGTCAGCGTAGCGTGGTTAATGCGAAACTTATTGGATTCTTCCCATTCAGCACGGGACAGGGAAGAAGTGATGATACAGTGCAGGGGCGCGTGGGGTTGGCGCATGCGTACGTGCGTGATAAGGGGACGTGTATTGGATGGAATGCGTAGCGCTCCTCAGCAGGCACCACTGATTGAAAAATGTCGCTTCCTGTACTGCAGATACCGGACGTAGACTGGGGAACGGGGCAGCAAGGCGTGATGGATAGCGCCTTCTTCTGGGGATATCTAGTCACGCAGATACCCGGAGGATTTCTCGCATCCAAGTTTCCACCTAATAGGTAAGTATCTGAACTGAAATAGCATGGACACCCAGTGCAACTGCTCCAATAAATGCCCTCTTCACGACGATGGGAATCAACACCCTGCCTTTTGTACTCATGACTTGGTGAAATTACTGGGTCAGAGAAAACGCGGACGTCAGATAACTAAAAACTGAACGCGAACATCCCATTAAATCCGCCGCTCCTCTCCGGCGTCGCTCAGTGGGCCTCGTTGTGTGAGGTGTTCTGCACCGTTCCCGTTGCGCCCTGCTGCCGGCAGAGGGCGTTCGACCGTGGTTACGGCATGATTCTCGTCGTAGCTGTCACTGCCTTACAGTATGTTTTTGCTGAACCCCGCCCTATAATTGAACGCCCGTCACTGGAACCTCCCTACTGTGAATGCGCGGCATTCGCCAATGCAGCAGCCTGTTGCAGTGTGTTCGGTGCGACCATGGGCCGTGTCACAGCATGGGCGGTGCGGTCATCTTTCTGTCCAGAGCGTTAGCCGCTGTTGTCATCATGCTGAAGAGTGGCCCGCATGACCATGGTCCTGTTGCAGGGTGTTCGGCACGGCCATTGCCACGTCCGGCCTGCTCAACTTCCTGCTGCCGACAGCGGCCAGGATGAGCAGCTCGGCGCCGTTCATGGTGCTCCGTATCATGCAGGGCCTGGTGGAGGTGGGTGTTTGTCGTGAGCCGCGCCATGCCGCGTCCAACAGAGGCGGGTGTTCGCGATGCCCGGGGTCGCGCAGGGCCTGGTGCAGGGGGGCCTCCGCCGTGTACGGGTAAAGTGGGTCTGCACGCGGCGGCTCTTCTCGTCCGGGTCATATGCTACATGACATGCAGCGGCTGTGTTGAGTCACTTCGAGTCATGCGATCAAGCAAAACAGCCGGTCTTTATAATATGCATGTATTGCTGTCAGTTCTGATGTCGATGTCAATGCTGGTGCTAAACTAATTACCACCTGATCTTCTTACCCCGTCTTTAGTACCTGTGACAGTCGGTTTTGGAATGAACATTTGAGGCACTCGTGGCTGCTCGTGGATAATTACGTTTTTACCCAAGCTGCCGTGCTCCTGGCGCTTTCAGTCACTGCTGCGTCATGGTTACGTCACCACCCTCCGGTACAAACGGCTAGCAGATCGGACGGCATCCGTACATGTCCGTGCGCCGCCGAGCGGATTCAGTCGGCGAGTGACCCATTCCATTAGGCTCCATTTGCATGAGTTGACAGAGTGCGCCGATGACTGCCGGGCATTGGCGGCGCGCGAAACAAACGTGGCACGATTTACGAGCCCAGCTGGTGTATGGATCGGTGCTATTGTATGCGACGGCTGGCTGACTGCGGCAAGAAATGCGGCTATTTATAGTACGCAGGACGTCCATGGACTCGGGGTCTGTGCGCTCTTTTGATCCGCCCGCACGACGCCTTTGTAAAGACCAGCGACGGAACGGACTCTTGTGGTTGAACGACGCCGTTAGCGCATGGGCCTCCTACAAATCATGGGGGAGCAGCTCAAGTTTGTGCGGTACCAGCGTAGTATTGGAAGTACTTGACTATCTAACTTTGTTTCTCATGTCCAAAGCATTTTGTCGTGTACTCAGTTGTAATTGATTATTGTCACTAAATGTGAAACTGCATCCCTCTTGCACCTTCTTTAAGGGAGTTTGCTAGTTCTTTGTCCTTTTCACTTATTGTTACATCAGCCGTGTCCGATTTTAAGGATAACGCAAGGATCCCCTAAATCCTTCCGAATAGCTGAGAATTTAGATTTTAAGTACGGGAGAAATCTGTCGTTATTTCGACTTCCCGGTCACCACTATAAGAGTAATGTATTTGATATTTCCAACATATGTGCTCCTTAGTGTTTGCAGTACACTAATTTGTCTAATACAATGAACCTGAGGCTTCACCAGACCGCGTGTTTTTTTTTAATAAGCTCTAAAGGTGGGTCACTCCCTTTGAACAAATTCATCACGAACTTCACTGCACATCCATGCACGCTCACTTCGCCGTCGCTGCTGTGCCTCCCGCACTCGAGGCACTGCGAAAGGACCCTGTTGGCGAGAAGGGAAGGGAGTCGTGAAATTATGGATGGCTTCATTACGGCTCTGCAGCCGCTGGCGCCTCTCTCCACGGATCATATTTACAGTCATTTGGGCGGCGATTGTCTGGGGGTCGGGATGATAGCGCCGGCCGCTCTGATGAGTGCCAGAGCCCTCAGCCGCGGCACGAGAGGCGCCGGGTAATCCCCGCACGTGACGGGCCCTCCGTCGATGATGAGAGGCCGCCCGCAGCCCCCTGTCTGGTGGTCCCCATGCAGCGTCGCAACTGCAGTGCCCTCAGCCGGGAAGAAAGATGTGTTCAGTTTAGAATAGCTCGGTTCACATGGGGTCATCCCTGAAAAGTTGTAGGCGTTTCTTAAACCGAAGTCAAAACGCGAGTCAAACAACGGACGGACGAAAAACATGCCGTCAACAATGAAATTCCGAAAATCATGTGTGATACAGACACAATATCCAATTAGCCGTCACCATCTCTGAGCAGTAGGCACATGAGATCCGCCTTGGGCCCGGACGAGATCCTTGTGTTTCGCACGGCAGGCTATAGAGGGCTGAGCGAATCTGAGGCCTCGCAGCAGAGACCTGTGCTTACCAGCAGGGGTCCTGGCTCTCGGCAGTCGCTGGTGCCCAGCCTGACGGAGGGCTGGATGCATGGCGACGGCAGGGTTATTAATATACGGCTGTATATACACTTGCCACAGACACTACACTTGCCGTCAGTGGTAAACCTTATGTTGCCACGAGGGTGCAAAGTGCGAGCTGTTTTTGTTTTGTTTTGTTGCGTTGTTTGTTGAGGACATGAAATGAAAACTGTGGGCTATAGATACAGTCAGTCATTCATAACGAACGCCGTCTCTCAAGCTTGAGAAAATCTTGAAAGGTTTGCTTTGCCTCGAACACCTAACTCGTCCCTCCCAGCAAAAGGGCTGAGATACTGTCGCAACGCATTGCAAATTGTGAAGAAATCAGGCTTGGAAGTGAAACAGTGTTTTTGCTAATTTTTTGTCATTGAAGTGACGTGTAAAAGCTGCATGCGCGTTATTTTTCGTGATACGGCAGGCACAATAGAACGCCGGCCGCTATAGGATCTCGTGAATCGTCGATAACCTGTAATGTTTCGCATCATTGTTATGTTGGTTGCATGATCATCCTGCTGGATCGTCTTACCCAAAACTCGACTCTGCATGCTCTCTTCATTCCCTCCACATAGCCAAGCGCGTATGATTACACACACTTTGTCAAGGCCTGATCTGCAATACAGCAGTCTTGGCCGCCTGAGTAAGACCGCCATTGATGGGGCGCGGTCCCGTGTAAGGCCGACAGTGAAAGGGGGCGATCCTGGGTAAGGCCAACACTGATAGGCCATATTTCCCATGTTGGACCGATAGTGACAGGTAACAGTCCGCGGGCCAAATTGACAGTCATGGGCCGCAGCCCCGGAAAAGACCGACAGTGACAGGCGGAAGACCGACTCCTGTAAAGACCAACAGTGACGGGCCGCAGTCCCTGGTTAAGACCGGCAGTGACAGACTGCAGCGCACGAGTAAAACTAACAGTGACAGGCCGCAGTTCCTGGGTCGAAACGACACTCACGGGCCGGAGTTTCCGGGAAAGACCGACCGTGATAGGCGGTAGTCCCCGGTAAAGACCGACAGTGACAGGCGGTAGTCTCCGGGTAAGACCGACAGTCACAGGCCGCAGTCCCCGGGTAAGACCGACAGTGACAGGCCGCAGTCCTCGGGTAAGACCGACAGTGACAGGCAGTAGTCCCGAGTAAGACCGACAGTGACAGGCAGTAGTCCCCGGATAAGACCGACAGTGACAGGCCGCAGTCCCCGGGTAAGACCGACAGCGACAGGCCGTAGTCCCCGAGTAAGACCGACAGTGACAGGCCGCAGTCCCCGGGTAAGACCGACAGTGACAGGCCGCAGGGCGCTTACTAATTGCCGCCGCCGGATCGGGCCGAGTCGCATTAGTCGGCCAGCCGTCCCTCCGTAATACGTCAGCCGACGCCCGGCTGGTCATCAGTGGGTATCGGTTTACTGCGCGTACAGCCCGTCCGAAAGCTGGCGGTGAATGGAGCGCCGGCCACACTCAGGGCGGAAGGGACTTGCCCAATCCGTATGCATTCATCCGCAACGGGCTTGGCTGCAGTGAAACGCAAAAGCACGGTAGCGGTTGAGGTAAAGAGGCCGTTTTTATGCTTTGAATCCCTAGCTAAAAACCGGGAAAACATTCAGGTATATATATATATATATATATATATATATATATGTGTGTGTGTGTGTGTGTATGTGTGTGTGTGTGTGTGTGTTTAATGTCTGAATGTACGTTTATATACCTGAATGTCCCTTTTTCTCTCTTACTAAGCTATGAAACTAATAGTATATATCTGCGGTTTTTTATTACTTGGCGAATGCATATGCTACTGAGCCGTGTACCATTCCTGTGCAAAACTTGTTTTGACTGCTGCCGGCGCCCTCGTCTGAAGCTTGTTACCAGCATCCCGTAAAAACATGTCATTGCCTACAAATGGAAATCGGTGGCAGCGGCCGTCAAATGTCCATGATTTTTCACACACTACTGAGCCCAAGTCCCAGCCATGTTCTTTGGTTTAACAATGACGCGATGACCTACATCATCTGCATGTGTGTCCAGCCGCCAGTGTACCGATTGTCGAGGATTTCTGAGTCTATTATCATGATCAGTCAGTGTGCTCTGCATTGTCTTTTCATCAGAAGGGTGTAGGGTGCGCGTTGCTGCACACCTATTTTGTTTTGGCGAGCCAGCGACTAGGGGCAGAGTAGTAGGGGGGAAGAAGGGTACTTGCCCCTCTGCTAGAAGCCCTGGGGGGAAGAGTATGCTCTGCCCGCTCACAACCTTTGGGGACTCCTTCTCACCGAGGTGAAGATTTGCAAGTTAAACACATGTTACCGAAATTCAGGTTGATGATATTAAATGGGCATTAAGTCTCACCGACAGCCAGGGCCATTTCGAAAGGAGATGGCTTTATTAAGTACCATGGGTCATGCAGTAGCGGTGTGGCAGGGACTCGAACCCAGGACCGGCAGGTCTACAGCCAAGCGTCCTAACCATTATGGCGCCACCGTCCCTATAACTAAGCCAAAAGTGCAATAAATAGAGCTCAAAAAACCTTTTCAAGCATCAAGAGACACGTGCTCGGGATCTGGAGGCCTCGTTTTGCATGAGGTAGCTTATGTGCTGGATCAGGGGTTCTATTTCTTGTTAAGGAGGACCTTTTGCGGGGTCGGGTGGCTCTCTTTATGAAATAAGAGACCCTGCTCAGGATAACGGGCACCCTCTTAATATCAGGAGGCCCCTTTCATCTTCATGTTATCCTTTCGTCCGCATATAATTTTTGCACATTAATCAGAAAGTCCCTATTCCAGATTTGTTAAGATTTTGGCAGCCATTGACATAGATAGTCATGCATGTAACAACTGTAAACGAGGGGTACGTGTCTGCAGTGCCCTCTACCCCTTAGATATGATGCTGCCCAGGAGTCCCCCCCCCCCCCACCCCCATGTGAGAAGGCCCCATTTCTCGAAGGGATCGCTGAAAAATTATGTCCATCAAACTTAAAATCGGTGGTGAGGCCCGTGCCAGCGACGACGGTTATTATGCTGGCGTCCAGAAGCCATGATCCAACCGGGCTTCGAACCCGGTTACTCCGCTTCTGACCACCGTCGTGCTTCACCTCACCACGTGCACTCCGCGCTGGCCCTTCCCGCGCTCTATCACGTGACCCTCGTGACCCCGGTGTTCCCCCTCCCCCAGGGCGTGACGTACCCGGCGTGTCACGGCATGTGGCGTAACTGGGCACCGCCGCTGGAGCGGTCTCGGCTGGCGACGCTGGCCTTCTGCGGCTCGTACGCCGGCGCCGTGTTCGGTATGCCCATCTCGGCCCTGCTCGCTATCGACGACGACTGGCCGGCGCCCTTCTACTTCTACGGTGGGTGTGCGTGCACCGAGCACCGGTGCGAGAGAGAGAGAGAGAGAGAGAGAGAGAGAGAGAGAGAGAGAGAGAGAGATGGGGGGGGGGAGAGGGTAGAGAGAGGGAGAGAAAGAGAGAGAGAGAGAGAGAGAGAGGGAGAGAGAGGAGAGAGAGATAGAGGAGAGAGGGAGAGAGAGAGAGAGAGAGAAGAGAGTAGAGAGAGAGAGAAGAGAGAGAGAGAGAGAGAGAGAGATAAGAGAGAGAGAGAGATCGAGAGAGAGTAGAGAGAGAGAGAGAGAGGGAGAGATTGGTGTGGTTACGTAACGTAAGAAAACCGATTCTGTTCTGTGCGTTGGACATTGGCCATTTGAGCGGGCGTTATGAAACGGCTGTGTAAGTCGAGCGATACCACTGCATCCAAATATCGAAGCGGTTTTGGCCACTAGCTTGAAAACAAGATTACACTGAGAAATCCAAGCAATTTAAACAAAGAAGGCTTTGACAATGGTAAGTAATTGCAGGTGCTAATAATATACATCACATGTGGACTACATTTAGTGCGGGTCCTAAGTCCGGGGTGGATTGGACCTCTCATTTTTACCTTTTGTGGCATTTCCATTTAATGACCTAAGTTTGCGCAAGATATGTTAGGCCGCCAACACACAGCATGCAGCCCTTCAAGGAAATGCTCCATATTTGAACATAAAATGTGCCAAGTATCAAAGTGATGAAGTAAGCCCTCTTGTAACTATTGGTATGCTTTTATGTATAAAAGACTGCTCTGGACAAGAACATTTCACTATTTAGTAAATGAGCTTCTCAATTCGTCGTTTGTATGACGTCAGAGTTGCTGCCGGACGGCCGTGTCAGAATTGCCCCTGTAGCGGACAGACCGACTCACTTGTTGCACTTGCGCTTATTTTGGCAATTTCTCGGAGTGTTATTGTATATTTGTTCGTGATGCCATGTTGTTTGCTTGTACTTACATACTCGGTTACGGCTATAATCTTAAGTTACTCGATCCCTCGCCTCACTTCCGTTAAAACACGTACCACTGCCCAAAGCCCTGATAGCACAAAACATCATCCGTGTTCAAAATTTCCACTCAATGGCTTAAAATGGTCGACCGCGTCGATTTAAATCGTGCTCATGCACACCAGGCAAAAATAATTCGTCAATCATATTTGCTCTTGGCCTTGAGCGCTACATGGCCAGCGGGACGGCAGTATTTGTGTGATGTTTCAGTGGCATCATGAATGTCTGGGTGATCTTGGACTGGTCCGACCGAAGTATTCTGCACACCTTCGCGGTCGTCAAGCTGGGAAACCGGGGTGCTTTGCCCCATCAAAATGACATGGCCGTGAACTGCACTGATTGTTTTGCAAAATGTTTGCACTGGGTGTTTTGTGGTCCCAGTTCATAACCTTATGCAAATGTGGAGCACTCCATTTAAAGGGGGTTTTCCACGTTTGCATAGGGTTTTGAGCAGGGATAACCATACTGAAGATAATTCGGTGCAGTTCGCAGCCCTGGCCTTCTTGATACCTAAATCCATCTAGTTTCCGAGTCACACGCCCGCAAATATGTGCAGACTATTTCGGGAGACTATTTCAAGGTCACCCAGGCATCCATACGCTATAACAATATCATCGGTCGATCGGCCCATCACCAGACTGCACGCTGACTAGTTGTTGTGTGACGGCTTGGCGTGGTTCATGCTGGACCGCGGCGGGCCCGCCGCCAGTCGCCGCTGCTCTGAGTCAGGACCTGCCTCCCTCCCGCTCCCCCCGCCGTCGCCTCCCCCTCCCCCCTCTTCCGCAGCGAGTTGATCAGCCGCCCCGAGCGCGGCCCGCGGGCGCGCCGCCCCGCCGCCGGCGTTCGGCGCCGGTCGTCATAGTCGGGCCCGATGACGCAGCCGCCGGCCCCTTCCGTGTCGGCGCCGAGTCAACCCAGCCCGACCCGCCCCTCTCATGCCGCGCTGGGGCTGTCGGACATCGAGCTGCGATTCACAGCAGCAGGGTGCCCCCCCCCCGCCGTCCCCCCCCCTCCCCCCTCTTCCGCAGCGAGTTGATCAGCCGCCCCGAGCGCGGCCCGCGGGCGCGCCGCCCCGCCGCCGGCGTTCGGCGCTGGTCGTCATAGTCGGGCCCGATGACGCAGCCGCCGGCCCCTTCCGTGTCGGCGCCGAGTCAACCCAGCCCGACCCGCCCCTCTCATGCCGCGCTGGGGCTGTCGGACATCGAGCTGCGATCCACAGCAGCAGGGCGCCCCCCCCCCCCGTGTGAATGGGGGGTTTGGAGCCGTCTCTGGAGACGTCCAGCCTAACTGAGTGTCGCACCACCGCGCTCCGAAGGTGATTGGAATCTAAGAGGATTGAGAGCTTGATGTGCTTGAGAAATTGCGCGGTCGGCTTCCGTCAACCCCTTTATTTCAGCTTCGTTTTTCTCGCCTCGACCAGTGATTTGGCGCCGCACCAGGAAGGCATCACATGGCACGCTGTCCATGCAACGTGCGATGATGTGAAAGTTACGATAGGTGAAAAACAAATGTGAGGCGTTCGCTGTGCAACAAATTTGGAAAAATTGGCCGATGGAGGTTCATCTATGCTGGATGGTGCCTAGAGTAACCCTCAGAGTATCCTTATCTGGATGGGAAGGGAACGACGTGACTTACCTAAGGTGTCCTGAGTATTCCTCTCCGGCATGTCGTGCAGTTGCGCCCAAATTTTCGGTAGTCCATGGGGCATCTATAGCGTTTCTGGTTCCGGAAAAGCGATGCTTTCTTAAGAACACTGCACGACAGTCCGCGGCTGGCAAAATGATAATGAAAATGCATAATGAAATCGGTTATAGACCAAGCAAACTAGAACGCATTGCTAATCGCGATTTATCATTCATACCAATCCACTGAGGTCTTTTTCTAGGCTCTATCTTCCTTAGTTTAGAGACGTCAGCGGTTGCATGAACACTGCCTCCCCCCTCCCCCCCCCAAGTCCGCGAGCGGTGAATCAGGGCGGAGATTAATAAGCATTTCCAAACTGAGGGGGAACTTAATAAAGGTCACCTCTGAGCCTGCGTATCTGAAAATGCTGAATTGGTTGCCAAAGGTAGGTGATTTCCTGAAGGTTTTTTATACTTTGTAAATTTCGTCAGGTTGATGACAGTGTTACATAACCGGGAATTTTTCAGCAAAGCTACGGCTAATATGCCGAGCAGAGATCTCGAAACGGGGCTTGACATTATCTAAAGTACGATGAAAGGCTGGCTAGGACTTACCGTGATCTTTTATGGCAAGAGAACAGCCCTAAAATCACTTGCACCACGCAAGCTGACAATGTCCTTGCTGGTCCATCAAATAACACGATTATGGATCTGCGGCCGAAATTTGCCGACTTCTAACGGAATAACAAACAACGCAAAACTAAACGAAGACATCGTACACAGAACTATTGCTTTCCGCAGCACCTTGTCAGACTGTCCGCGTGCAGCAACTCAGCTTGGTCTTCACCGCAGGCTGCGTGGCGCTCATCTGGTACGCCTTCTGGATGTGGCTCTCCTTCGAGAAGCCGACCATCCACCCCAACATCAGTGAGCGCGAGCTGACGTTCATCGAAGACAGCCTGGCCGGCCAGCAGGGCCAGACCATTCCCACCCTGTACACCACGCCGTGGCGCGCCTTCTTGACGTCGATGCCGCTGTGGGCCATCCTGGTGGCCAACATCGCCCGCTCCTGGACTTTCTACTTGCTGATCCTGCTACAGGTCCGCTTCCTCCAGGAGGCTTTCAACTACAACATCGGCGAGGTAAGCCCGTCGTGAGTATTGTTCAAATGCTGGGCGACTGGTAATGGTCTTCAAGTAGCTAGGCTAGCCGAAAAAAACTTTTATATATTTGTAGGCAATAAAGGTATCTTTTTTAAACATAAATTTGCCTTCCTGTGAGTCGTCCAGTCCTTGCAGTCATCCACAGCTTTTGTCTCCGTTTTATCATTACCTATGGTAATCAGGATTTCTGTCACTGTTCCCTTATGTTCTATTCCGTCTCACCGTCGAACTGATATTATTACCTATAAACAATTCCTGGCCCGCTCCTCACACCACGCAGCACACCACCAGGCGCCGGCCGATCAATGACCGCACCTGGCGTCAGTCAGGGGCGGCCAGCAGTGTGCTCGCCAGCCGCTGCTGCCGGCCCGTGACGCGGCGACGCTTCTCCCTGCCCGGCTGCTGCCGGCCTGTGACGCGGCGCCGCCTCCCCCTGCCCGGCTGCTGCCGGCCTGCGACGCGGCGCCGCCTCCCCCTGCCCGGCTGCTGCCGGCCTGTGACGCGGCGCCGCCTCCCCCTGCCCGGCTGCTGCCAGCTCGTGACGCGGCGCCGCCTCCCCTGTCCGGCAGTCCGGCGTGGTCTCGGCCCTGCCCCACCTGTTGATGACGCTCGTGGTGCCCGTGGGTGGCCAGCTGGCCGACTACCTGCGCCGAAACAACCTGCTCTCCACCACCAACGTGCGCAAGCTGTTCAACTGCGGCGGCTTCGGCCTGGAGGGCACCTTCCTGCTGGTGGTGGCCTACTCGGGCAGCGCCACGGGTGCCATCGTCGCCCTCATGCTGGCCGTCGGCTTCTCCGGTTTCGCCATATCAGGTGAGGGCAGCTCGCCATGCAGATGTGCAGCTACGTGACCGAGGTGACGGCCGGTATCTTTGGTGAATGCACTCGCATACTGCTCTCTGTGTCGTTCTGGTTGAGCGTATTTTTGGTTGTCTGCTGTAGTTGACAGCTCTAATCGGATGACGCCGGTGATCCGCGCCCCCTGGATGGCATAATGCGAAGAGCACCGCCAAACCTAGTCCAATTAGACATCTCATGTCGTCCCAGATGTTAAAACAATCAGAAACACTATTACGTCGTCGCCTTGGGATTGGCTTACTCGACGCGGGCATCATCAACAATTTGCCATCCCATTCTGCCCGGCCGTCTGCGGCGGGATCAATAGACTCAGTGACCCACATGCCTGCCTGGCCGGGCCGGGCCGGGCCGGGCCGGCCGGCCCTCCGCCGAAAAGTATCGACCGCGGCCCGCCCGCAGCGTCTCCCCCTGCTGCCGCTCTCGCCCGCCGCGCTCGCGGCCTCCCTCTCTCCACCTCTCTCTCCCCTGGCCGCGCCGCCGCCGGCGCTCTGGCCAGGCCGCGCCGCGCGCCAGTTCGGCAGGGCTGGGTAATGGCCGCTCGACGCCGTCAAATACGCCGGATCAGGACAGGCGGACGCTCTCTGATGCCTGCGCGTGCTCGTGCATATAGAACATCGCTTAGGCGTGGCAAAAATCGGCCTGCAGCGCCCGGTGGTGACGAGCCCGGCGCGCCCCGCGCTGCTTTTACTGGGCAAACTCTGACCCGACCTTGCACGAGCCGTTTAAAACACCACGATAAGAAATCATCCCCAAACGCCGCTGGCATGGTCAAACATTTCAACTGGAGCAGTTGACTGTAGGTCATTAACGCGGTTGATTTTGTTTGTGTTTTGTCCCATCCATTCTGTCGAAGCATCGAAATCATACACCATTGGTCTTTACTCCACATAAATACCTGTTCGTCCATCTAACTGCAATTAGTGTTCCACGTCGCACAGGGGCTTGCGCCGAGACTCGCAATGGGGGGGGGGGGGGAGGGACAGAACCTAAAAGTGTTCACTGACAACCCAGGTTAGCACATCGCAAGCGCGTGAAATTCCTTCCCGCGAAATGCCTTCTGGCGGCATTCCTTTCCGTAGGCTTTCTTTCCGTCAAATTCCTTCCCGGTAACAGCTACATCACATGTTCTCGCTTTCTTTGGATTTTCTTATCTTCCGCGAAATGTTTATTATCAAAGTGTGTTTATAAACATATTAATGCAGATAATGAATTTGAAAACGTGGAGGGGGGGGGGGGGGGCATGCACTCCAGTCAACGGGGAGGCGCAAGCGTGCTCTCTGTGTGAGCTACCTTTTCTTGGCGTGCTCTCTGTTGCCTGGCCCATACGTAAATGCACCCGCCTTTTTATGGCTCTTCTTGGAGTGCTCTCTGTTGCCTGGCCCATACGGGGCGTGCCACATAATGAGCTGCGAATTTTTCTAAGCGACCTTTGTTGACCTTCCCGTTCGTGCCGTACTCTCTGTTGTCCTCCCCGTTCCCGGCGTGCTGTGACCTGGCCGTGCTCGGCGTGCCCTCCGGCGCCCTGCGCTGACTGCCGCCGCCGCCCATCTGCGGCGCCTCTCGGCAGTCGACTCACGCCGCGGCCCCGATCGGTTCGGAGCGTCTCTTAATGCGCTCCCCGGAGACCGGCCGAGTCAGATAAACACGACAGTAAGAACGAGCGATTTGATGCAGCCGCCTCCCTAGCGATTCAATTACGGCGCGCTGTCACCCAGTTGTCGGCCGGAGCGCCCATTATTCAAACGACTCCGTCGATTAGCACTGAGGAGGGCTGGTCACCCGGATTAATGTGTTTGCCCATTACTCGATAGGCCAGTGCCGGACCACTAATGGCAGCCCGTTCGGCGTGATGACGCTGAGCATCGCGCCGCCGCCAGTGCCGCCGGTGGCCGCTGCGGCGGCCGGACGCGAGCGGCGCCCCTTTGTGTGCGCCCGCCGCCGCCACCGGCCTCGATCGAGGCTGGCGCCTGCCAAATTCACACAGCGCGGGGCGCGGCCGGCGGCCGGAGGACCGCGTCAGGTTTCATAGACCACTCGGCCGCGCCGTCCGCCGCCGGGCCGGCCTGGTCGGCCCGGGAGCGTCTCCGGGCGATCTCGCGGCAGCCGCACCGCCGTCAGACCGCATATTGATCGCCACCGCGGCCCATAACTGCGAAGACAGCGGCCTGACGCGGCCCGGTGGCCGCTGTGCCGCCACCTCTTCAGCCGGCTCTCATTTCCGGTTCTTTATCGGTCGCCATACGATTGCCTTCGACGCTCAATAATAAATCCGTCGCGACCAGTGAGCGCGTGACGTCATTGAACGGCGACGCGGCTCTCCCGAGCCAATTCATATAATCTCGGCCGGTCTGAACGGCGGCCTTTTTATCCGACGGATCATCACCCGATAGCAGACGTTATTTGAAGCGAGCAATTACGGCTAGGAAGTGGGGATCAACAGCTTAATGACCGTATTCAGGCCAGGACTGAAAGACCGGGGAGAGCTGTTTTCCTCTCCCGGTAAATGTTTTTGGCTCCTGATGAGTTGCGGCTTCGAACAATGCTCGCAAACTAAAACCATTGTACCAATTATTTGTAAAAGTGTACTTGGGTGGTCACTGACAGCTTTGTTACAACACTTCCACAGAGCAATACCTGTTTAAATCGAAATTCTGGATATTTTTGCATTTGTATCAACCTTTATCAGCGCATCACATGTACCGAAACCACTGAAAATAAATCAGAACAAACTCCATAACCCCACAGCATACCACACAACCTCAAAGCGTTGTCCACAAGTTGGGAGACTCACACGACGCCCTGAAGCCCACGTACTGCCTGATGTACGCCCCCTTTATTTACGATTTACGCTCTTGCATTCACAACCAGAGTCTCACTGAAACTGACAGGGCGGGTAGGGATATAAGACTAGAATTTCTTCAAACTGTTTTTATGGCTTTTATGATTCCTCACTCATTTTTCGTCTGGGGTCTGGGGCCATGTTACGAAGGGGGTCTAGGTCGGCATTGATCCATGTCATGGTGAAAAGCTGCGACAAACATGAGAGGGGAGGGCGGACCTTCCGAGGAAAGTTGCAAAACATTACTTGCGCTTCCATCCCTCCTGCACCACTACAAGTAATACGTGACCCCAACAAAATATATGTGAGGTATGCTGTACCGCAAGACGCACTGACATTGCGGGGCGGCCTAGACCGGTACAGTCTTGACGCTGACCTGCGCGAACTGAGGCATGATGCGCGAGCAGCGATGTTCGACAGGTTTCCCGATACGAGGGGCACAACTCAGTGTATTTCATTGAAAACCAAGCTCAGCGCGCCGCAGATGCGCGAGCTTTGTTGCATGGCGTAAAAAGCATTGCCGTCTTCTTGATCTACATATTTTTACGTGTCTACCTGGACCTGGCGCAAATATTAATGTATGCAAAAAAATAATAAGGGAAGTGCACGTGCGTACGGAGCCACTATGTGCGCACGTCCCTGCGCACAAACGTTACGTTATGACTATTTTCCTTCCAGACATGTTTCCAACACTACCCATATCCCAACACACAAGAATTCAAGGAATTCACATTCCTATGAAATGCTGTCGGATCACTCTGTGCAGGCGCCGCAACTCACAAAGCTTCAGCAAACCGTGTTAGGTGTTTTTGTTTAATCAGGTACACACATCACCGTTGCGCGCTACCCGTCTATGGCCGTGGTTGGTCAGATACATTGGCGCGGCTGGGTGCGAATTACCAGCGGCCCTGCCCGCGGCGGCGGCGACGGTGTGCTGCGCGGTCGGAGGAGCGTTGCCCGCTCCGAGCCGACAACCTGATGGGTCCCCACTGGCCCAGCCGTCACCGGGGTCCAATCAGTCCCGGCTAACGAGGATGGGCCGCATCGGGCCGGGCCGCGCAGAGCCGCGCCAGCTGGGTGCCAGCTGGGCGCCAGCTCTCCGCGGTCAGGCGGCCTCAGCAGCCAGGGCCCGCCACTGCGCGGGGCCCCGCGAAGCCAGCTGGTCGAGCAGACGCCGAGCTGGGGACTTTTCATCCGGAAGATGGCGGACATTGCACTTTTGATCCGGAAGACGGCGGACACTACACTTTTGATCCGGAAGACGGCGGACATCACACTTTTGATCCGGACGGCGGCGGACACTACAATCAAAATGGCGTCTTGGCAATGTGCGCGTACTTGGTGCGCTATGAAAAGAAGATGCCTAGTACATAGCTACATTAAAACAGTCTTTATAAGACAAATTGCTGGTTAAGCGTAGTTTTTAATAGTACTGTGAAGAAGAAGGCCCGAATGCAAACCGATCCTACATAAATGCGATTGTGTGCTGGTCGGCAGGCTTCAACGTCAACCACTTGGACATCGCTCCTCGGTACGCCAGCATCCTAATGGGCATTACCAACGGCTGCGGCACCCTGTCCGGCTTGGTCTGTCCCATCGTCACCTCCAGCATGACTGTCCACAAGGTGAGACTGGAGGAGAGAGGCAGGGAATAGGCGAACTTCACTCAGGCCGTGCTGCTCCCATTGGGTCCGGCTTCACTATCCTATAATGGATCTGGGCTCAGAATAAAATATCGGGATGCTTTTTGGAACACAAGTGGCCAACGCCTTGTAAGGCAAAGTTGTCTCAATCACCATTAAAATGGGCTCGTCTGAAAGTTGGGTGCGGGTAAGGGTGGCGGGTCATACGTCCCTCATCAGGGTGAGGTGCCGCCTTTGTCCCTTAGCAGAGTGTGATGGCGTCTTCGTCCCTCACCACGGTGTGGTGGCGTATTCGTTCCTTGTCAGGGTGCGGTGACGTCCTCGTCCCTCATCAAGGAGTGGTGACGCCTCGTTCCTCATCGAGTCGGGGGTGGCGACGCCTTCATCCATCATTGAGTCAGGGGGTGGCGACGCCTCGTCCCTCACCAGAGCGTGTGCTGAAGTTTGTCAACGGTCGGTCGGGGCCACTCGTCAGCCCATTTGTTGTCGACGTCCCTCCGCATTAAGCCTCATCAGTACACGTGCTAGGTCTGTGTTAGCTGCCTTATATTGACTGCTTGCATTTGCATTGGCGATCGACCGATGCCGCCAGCGCTGGTGAAGAGGCGCACGGTCAATTCCACCGTTCTGTTGGCAGACGAAAGAAGAATGGCAGCAGGTTTTCATAGTAGCAGCAGTCATCCATTTCATCGGCATCCTCTTCTACGGGATCTTCGCGTCCGGTGAGCTACCGACGTCGAACGGCGCACCGTGTAACCAGTGTCAAGAGGCGCGCGGTGATTGGCTGGCGTCTGCTAATGGCAGCTGGATCCGTATGTTGGCAGACACATTCGTTGGCACTGTTTGCATCCCTGACGGCGCGGCAGACAGTCGCCATACTCAGTATGTCTCATGTCTTCGTTGTGCGGCACCACTGTGTCCGGGTAGTCGTCTGAGCTTGCGAAACTTCCCAGGTGAGCTTCAGCCGTGGGCCGTGCCGCCGGAGGAGGCGAAGCATACTCAGTTTAGTGACGGTGAAAATTTCAACAAAAAACCGCCCATGGTGAGCAGACCCCCGGTGATGCCAAGCTTTTCTTCAGCACTATTCGAGCTAAGCTCTTCCACACGCGGTAACAATTTTATAGCTCCGGTTAAAGTACATTTTAATATGAAGTAGCACGTTTGCTTGTCATGTATGCTCATCTTAGAGCTCTTCTTGTGCTTTTCTTTCCCGCTTCACAGTGCAAGGGTCACTCCGGGAGACAGCTGTAAGTCGACTGCATTTGTTCATAAGCTGAACAGTGGACGGGAACGAGCCTGTTCTCGCCCGCAGGAGACAAACGGCCACCCTGCGAACGGCTCTTCGCGCGTCATCACGTACGGTTCCCTGGAGGAGCCGGCGCCCGAGCCGGCCGCCCAGTACACGGCCGACGGCGGCGGCGGCGGTGTGCCCGAGTACGCCATGGGCCCGGCGGCGCAGTATAACGGCCCGGCGGCGCAGTACGACAGCTCGGCGGCGCAGTATAACGGCTCGGCGGCGCAATACGGCGGGCCCGCGGTCGCCTTCGGCCACGGCCAGCCGGCCGCCTACGGCCACGGCCAGCCGGCCGACTACGGCCCGGCTGTACCCGACTCGGCAGCGTATGGCCAGGTCGCGGCGCCCCAACCGGCGGCGTACGGCCCGGGTCTGCTCTCGCACGGCGCGGCGGCACATGACTCGGTGAGGGCACGGGCGGTATCCGGGCGCACCGTCATTCGGGCGCTGAGAAATTAACGCTTGAGTGCTTAAAAGGTTATGGCTACAGGTAATAGCGACAAAGGCTATTCCAATTACATGTTACCGTTTTCAGTCATGTTGAAAGCCTTAACGCTTGCTAGTTTACCATGGTGCTTGTTCTCGGCCGCCCGGCCGAAAGCGGTTGACGCCGTTCCGTCGCCTCCAGCAGAGCCTGTCGCATGGCCACAGCCTGGCGGACGCAGGTCAGCCGCCGGTCTACAGCGCCAACCCGACGAACCCGTTCGCGGCGCCCCCGCCGAGCGGTGGCTATCTGGGCCAGGGCTCCAGCTGAGCGGGCAACGGGCGCCGGCCGCCAGGTCCCGCGTGACCCGCATGCCCGCCAACTCAGGGCCGGGTGCTGAGTGACAGCAGGTCACCACGCCACCGGAACAATCCGAGGAGCTTCCCACCGGCGCAGATAGGGCGCCGCCAGCCACTGGGCCAAGCGGAGGGCCGGTCCCCGCTTTGCTGCTTGACATGTCTGGTTTGCTGCAATTTGTGAAGCAAATGCTGGAACCAACACTTCGAAATTACAACAGTATTGCACCTGATGGTGTGTTACTGGCCTGCATGTAGCGTAATGGTCGTTTATGAGCCTGTTTTAAAACGAAGGCGACATCACACAAAATCGCCCGACATGTTCTGTTCGTGGCGGAGTTGTCGCAAGGTGTCGGTGCGGTTAACATAACTAAAAGCGGAAACAATTAAGACAGACCGCATCCTGTCCAGGTGGTTTAATTATATAAGCCACTGCGCATGGTTTTATAGAGCAATTGCTTACATTGATTACGAACATTTGAAAATGTTGGCTTACCTCGATATTGATTTTATTCAATTTAATGTAAGGTAACAATAATACTTTAGATCAACTCAGGCAATAATTGGGTTAAGCATACCGACAATTCCGTTCAGTTTTCCTTTTTTATGTCGCTCTTCTTTCACCTTTTCATAGTTTTCTCAACCTGCGTAGCTCAACTTAGCTCAACTGCCAAAATAACCTAGATTGTGATGAAAAGAGCGAGTGCAATAATCCCTCAAAAACCGTCGTGACGCAATGAATGCGTTCAAATGGGACCCGCCTGGCATAACTACTTAATGCACAATGCATGATGACGTAAAACAAGACGATCGGAAAAGCCCATTTAGCTGATTCTGAGTCAGTAAGCAAATAACTCATAATAGCCGCGTGTGTCTTGCAAGACACGTTGATGATAAGCTCAGCCGGACGTTGCCTCCTGGCATGATAACACAACTTTAGAATCCCATGAGCTTGTCAAGACTAGAAAAGTCACAATGCTAACTGTCTTTCCGCTAACGTTCGTCGTATATCAGGAAAATCTAGAATCTTCCGAATTTAAGTTAATTTTAATCAGGCGATCGGAGAAGGCGGACGGCTGGCAATGCCCGCCTCCCTGATCACATGTGTTTTCCTGTGATAGTGGTGATTTGCCTGGGCGTGCGGTTGACAGTGGATAATTGTGTTAATTGTGCTAGGTACCTATGTATGATGCTGCATTTATGTGAACAAGCATACGAATTTAGAAAAGGGAACTTTAGGCAAGCTGCAAGATAAAAATATGCATATTCTCGTCAGATAAACTGGAAGATAGTCAGTATTCCCTGCTTCGTGCTAGCAGAAAGATCAATTTGTTTCACCGATTTTGATACGTTACGTACATTGAAAAAGAAACGTGATTTGAAATTCCCATGACATCTTATTTTTGCATCTCGATCGGTAAAATAAGCTAGCATCCAAGCTGTCCCGAGAGGTTAGTGGAAAAAAATATATGTGCATGTCTGACAATTGAATGCAAGTAATATGGTTTATAATAGTACTGAAGCTAGTTGTTGATAAGCTGATGGAGAGAAGAAGACATTGCGGAGAAATCTTGCAATGTTGCCCTACTACGGAACTCGTTCGAAAAATCGTCTTACTGTGGTGTAACTATTGATATACTCACCGTTATTGTGGCTGTCTTGTCATGTATATTTGTGTAATCTATCGTCGGTGTTAAATCCTTTTTAACGGTTATTTGCTAGGAATAATATGTCATCGTACCGTTTACGCTGTATGAATGTGTCATCCATTGCGTGCAGCCGTGATCCGAATGGTAGATGATGATCGACACTAAATTTTAGGAAATCATTTTATTTCGTGGTGCTGTGAGGTATACGTCACCTGGAGTAAGAGCGAAATTACTTAAGTGCGCTGTCGAGGAGCACTATTCACACAGACACGACAGCAGTAATAGCCTCATTCCTCGGAGGAGGACCAAGAGAATGGAGATATTGTTGTGTTGATATTTCGGCAACATGCCTTCATCGAAACAGAAGCAGAAGTTACGACAAAGACATGTTGCCGAAATATCAACACACCTACATCTCCATTCTCCTGGTCTTTCTCCGAGGAATGAAGCTATTACTACTGCCTCAAGTATGGTGTGAAAACGGCTTTAAATTCCCAGCATTCAGTCTTAAGGTTTGGACCCCCGGGCCAGTCAGGCCAGTATTGTTACGAATGGCTGAAGCACTTCGCCGCAATGGCGAGGCTAAGCCTCATCACAGCCGGCTTCAGGGGACAGGAGAGATCAGGCCGGCATCGCATTGAGTGGGTTGGGACGGTCGTGGAGGCGACACCGGAGTTCAGTAGGTGTGTGAAGGTCTCGTCGGTCTCGGGTCATGCCCGTTTGGCGATGATGATGCCTGGCCAACGTTTAGGGATGTGGTTGGGAAGCACGAGGTCAGCTATGTTTAGACGTCATGTGACATGAACCTTTTAAATGGCATTACGCCATCTGATGTTACGGCTTGAAAGGCACAACAAATTGTGAAAGTTCTGACCACATCAGTTGCTTTCCTAAATTGTGCTTTACGTGAGCCATACCGTAGGAGTCATTACTGTTCTTTTTTAACGTTCACGACCAAACAAAAAGAAATGGTCGTGACTTTTCCTGAAACCCTTCTCAGACCGCTGCTAACTTTGCTCACACTACGAGTCTTTTGTTGCAGTTGGTGCGGCTACATACTAGTTTTTTCATGACTTTCCTAATTCGGCCAAATTTTTGGCGTGTTTTGGGTGTAATAAATCGACCATTTGCCATAAAATAAGTTAAAGCGGAATCGCCGCCTTTCATCTCGCACCCGTACTCCTTACCAACTCAAAGCTTAAAGTACCTTTCTAACTGTGCTGAAGGCAATGAGGTTTATAGTGGTGTGTAAAAAGACAAATCAGGGGACAAATGAGGGACTGGGTTTGGGTGTTTTGTTATTGCTGAGGTGCAAGACGAGAACTAGTCCCGACCGAAATATTGCCACAGTGATCGTTTCTATTGGTATGAGTGGCTGGAGGCACAACCGACCGGGCTTTTGCCTCGTGTTTTCTCCGCGAGTATCGGAGTCTGTGTTACGTTACCGTTATTGGCGTGTTTGCTCCGAGCGGCCCATGCGCCAGGCTTGTGCGCCCGGCTAGTCGTTTGCCAGCGTTTACGGTTGTGTGTGGCGACTCTGTGATGTTGTTGAGGCACTGATCTCCCGATCAGTCGACCGGTGTGACAAGTGGTCGGTGAGTCACTGCTGAGGCGCCAGATGTTGAGGCCCCTGGCGCAGCGTGGTTCTCAACGTCCCGCTTCGCTGGCGGCTGCGGCCGGCTTGGCGTGGTGAGTCCGGCTGGTCTGCTTTCTCGTCGGCCGGTCTGCAGTCGGTCCGGTCACCACACGATCGGCAGCCGTGTGGTGACGCTGGTGATGCGCTGCCGCGGCAGCTGTATAGTGCCGACGGCTCCGGCTGACACCGGCGGCTCCGTTGGTGTTGCTGTGTCAGCTGCCCCGGCCACCCGACGGCCGCGGGCGTCCGGCCGGCCGTGTGTTCCGTGTGTCGTGTGCGTCCGGTGCCGCTCCTCGCATGAGGCTCCTGCTGGCGTGCGCCGGCACTGGCTGAGAGCTGAGAGAGCTGTTTAGCTGAGAAAGCCGCCTACCCGTGCCCCAACGACCCTCTCCGGTAGCAGTTGCTCGGTGTTGTTCGCGGGTGCTCGTGCTGTGCCGAGAATGCGTCTCTGTTGTGTGAGATGACGGCTGCGAGCCTTCGACATTGGACATGTCGCGTCCCGTCGTCACGTTCTCTATTCAACCTCGTGTTGGCTCTGCCCGCCCCGTCTCCCTCCGCTCTTTCCATCGCGCGGTCTGTCTCCCTCTTTCTCTCTGTGAGCAATAACTGAGTGCGTTACAGTTCGGGGCGCAGGGCGACGCATCGCCTACCGGTGCGCCGCTTCGATGGTCGACGGCCGCGCTCGCGCGCCATTGTCGCCGCACTGCGTCATCGGTGTCGTTCTGGAGCGCGCGGCCCCGGTGGGCGGTCACCGAGCCCTCGTGAGCCTGGTCATCAAGTTAATGTGGCCCGTGTCTCCTAGTTGGTGTGGTATGTGTGTGAATATATGTTGTTCAACGCCCTCCGTCCTTTTAGGCGTCAGAGAGATTATTTCCAAACTGATGGATAAATGGCTCTTCAGGAAAAGCGTGCGGAATTAAGGCACGAATATGACAGACATTTATATCCATTTCGGCATAAACTATGCATCGATGCAAAGACCATTCCATGCTTTTTCGCACCTGCCTGCTGAGCTCCCATGTCCCTCCGGCGTGCCTACACCGTGGCCCCTTGGATTACAAGTGCAACACGAGCTCCATGTGGCCCTC